CTCGCGACATGCCGCCGAACAGGCGACAAGTACCGTCCCGTACGGCGTTGAAAGCGCAAAGCACGTCCGTTCGGCTCGGGCACGCGCGGACAAATGTCCGGGCGAGGCGCGCGCGCATTCTGCCTTCGTCCGAGCGCTTCCTCAATGGCGAGTCCGCACGAGCTTAACGGAGCCCCCGCTAGTGTGTTTGTGTAACGTGGTTAAAAAGCACTAGGGATCGTTATAAAATGCATTTGCCAAATGTGAGCTTTGCACGCCGTTTACTGCTTGTCACGATCGCTAAGCACTTAACTGGGTAGACATGCGCGGTAAATGAAAATAATGATATGGTAGTCTTAGACTTGATTGCCGCACGAGACAGGTTGTACTTGTTCCTAATCAAAGTGCATGTTTATGTGCAAAAGAAATAATAAAACGCTTTACCTCCTAAAGAATTGAAATAAAAAAAGTCAAACGGAATGCACTAATTTTATATGCGTATATCCAGAAGTGACAATTGAGCGTTGGTAACAGGCGCCGTGTCTATTCCGCGTCCGCCTTTCCCCCAGTGGGCGCAGATGCGGTGTGCGATGCGCTCCACCAAACGTGTTACACTTCGATGCTGGCATTAACATTTCATTGCACCAGAACGTCTATCGAATCTGCCGTCTGACGATGATTTGACCGCGGCCGATGATGCAAACAGTGATAGTATGTCGGATTTTTCATCTGAATCCTCGGGTTCAAATCTCATTGACGGACTAAGTTTGGCTGTCCGTTTGTCAGATTTCTTGCTACAAGCCTTTACACGACGACATTATTTTCAAAATATAATTTAATATTATACGACACTTATATTATTCTCTTGAGTTCATTAATTACACCTATTCTAAAAAACGACCACCTTCGCCTTTCTGCCTTCGGTAGATTTACGTATCTATGGTGTTATGATGATAATAGGTTCCATAGAAAAAATATTATTAATAAAAAAAAAATATAGAAAAAAAAATACTAATCACACTATAATGAAAAATTTTGATGTATATTTATATATCAATTTAAGAATTACCTAATTGAAATCAATTTTGAATTAATAGAACTAAATTGTAAATGCAATCTTCAATTTTGCATAGGGCCTTTGGATGGAATAAAAGTATTAATACACGATAAATAATTCAAAGTAGTTCGCAACCAACGGTAGATATACAGAATATGTTTGACATTGGCAACATAAACGTATTTTTAAAATAATAATAAAAAATACAAACATTAACTATGACACATCGGACACTTCTACGTACATTCACTATTTTTTAAATGGGATCCAAATTGAATTTAAAACTATTCCGTTAAAAGCATTCCCGAGCTTTTACGTTATTTATGCGACCAACGAAGCTAAATAGTTAATGACGAATAATTCCACGCGTCAACCTTCGAATGTCACTAAGGTGATTGTATAACACAAATATTTCGAAACTCATTATTAATTGAATGACATAATCCCCTTATGTTTATTTCATTAAACACCGCAAGAGTTATTGGTATAATAGCGGCCAGCCTAAATGACGCCGTGTTTATTTCATGAACTATAAACAGACCAATTCTATTTCGGGTAATCGGTTAACTCTGAGATTAATACGTGAAACCAACGCACGCCCGGTTTCTGAAACACTGATCATCGTAGAAATTAACTAATCAGCTGTCAAATGGCTTTTTAAATGTCATTTGAGCTGCCTAAAAGGATTGTTAAAAACTGATCATTAAAAAAAAACATTCTGATCAATTCAGGGAGTTTAAAAATACTTTTAGCAAAATCCCAAATACGAATTGTAAAATGTCATTTGAGAAAGTGTCTAATTGCTAAAAATGGCATAAAAAACAAAGTATGTAGGTAAAACGTTGAAGTTTTCCCGCGATGAGGACCTACTATCATCACAGCATAGCAGCATATAATAATAATCGTCACAGCATAGAAAGAAATAATGACTACAGCCTTTATCATGTGCACAGTTAAGTTAAATTGTGTAAATATATCCTGTTATCCAGTATTTATGTGTTACATGTAGTGTAAAATCAGAACCAACCCGTAAAAATCCTTCAAGAAGAGACTATTCCTAAAAGGCCGGCAACGCATTTGTAAGCCCGCTTTCTTCCCATAAAAAAAAAGCTTAGACGACTAGAAGCTAAGACCAACTGTTTAACATTTAGTACTTTTCTCTACTATATCACTCAAAAATGAAGCAAAACCACCATTGTCTATTATTCTGAAAACGAAAGCGTAAAATAGTATACATTATTGTTTTGTTAAGAAAATCACTAAATATCTCAAGTCTTAATACGCGTTCTTAAACTTGTCGATTACTATGCAGTCCGACATTTTGAATGTAAAGTGACGGACGCCATAAAATAAATTAATAGGTTACTCGTGAAGTCTGCATGTAACGTACAATTGTGGCGGCATCAAGGTCATGATGAACGGAACACTTATCAATGTAAGAAAAACGAACAATGCAGTTATAAGCAGGTAACTGTTGATCATCGTTATAGATAAACACCGAGCCATCGTTATTTTATCACGTGTCTGTAAGGGATCGGTGTTGGATAAGGTTTAATACTTCAGGGCTTATTTATTGATATTCTGTGATGATGAATGATGATAACTTGCCAAGAGTGTCGGTGAATAATTAACATCAGCTTGACAGTCAGCATAAATAAATTTAACGCGAGAATTAAAAGCCAACGTAAAGAGTCTATCATTAAGCCTACCCCCAACGACTTTATCATAACTTAATATCATGTTAGGCGCGAGACGCGATGGTTCTTATTGCAATTTAGTAACATTTTTTTTATGTGAGAAAGTGGCAAACACGCTGGCGTTTCATCTAATGTTAAATGATAACCGCCTGCCCATGGACATTTGCAACACGCGTAGGGTTGCAGATGCGTTGCCACTTCTTAATGAAGTGGGCCCCGGCTACCGCACTCACCAGACGAGACGCACAAGTCTAACACTTCTACTTGACGCCGGTCTTCTGTGAGGTCGTGGTACTAACCAGGACGGACCTGCCCATTCGTGCAACGGCAAACACTGTTGCGTGGCCCTACCACCGAAAATATAACAAAAATTTAAAATGTTGTTCATGTTGCGCATAACCGCCCAGGCTACAAATTTAACAAAAAACGGCCAAGCGCGAGTCGGACTCGCGCACGAAGGGTTATCTATAAAAACGACGAAATAATCATGTCTGTTGTATGGGAGCACCACTTAAATACTTTTTATTCTTAAGTATTTGTTGTTATAGCGGCAACAGAAATACATCAACTGTAGAAATTTCAACTATCATGGTTCATGAGATACAGCCCGGTAACAGGCGGACTGATAAACAGATAGCGGAGTCTTAGTAATAGGGTCCCGTTTAAACTTTGGGTACGGAACCCTAAGAATGGATTTAAAAGTTCAACACGAACGACGGGAAAACACGTACCTAATGTATTAAGAGTGTATTGCAAAATCTTCAACAAGAACGTCGGTGTGATTTGGCGGATATTTCTAAAATATGCAGGTTTTTCCAAGACGTTGTACTTCATCGCCGTGGGCGTGATAAATGCCGTAGTAACTCGGTGCCTAACGATTGTGTTTTTTGTGATCAACGCTTATATAATAGTTAGCACATCTTCCTGTTGGGAATACCAATTCAAAAGCACCGGGCTAATATATTACCAGTTTAACGGGGCACATAAGGATGATGCGCAAGGAAAATCGAACTATAGCATCGCTACGTAGTATAAAACAAAGTCGTCCCGCTATCTGTCTGTCCCTATGTATGCTTAGATCTTTAAAACTACGCAACGGATTTTGATGCGGTTGTATTTACTAAATAGAGTGATTAAACTAAATTATATTTATATTTATAATTCATGCATAATATAGTAGATAAAAACGATATAACGATACATATTTAAATAAACGATATATAAATAATTTTAGAGGTTTCTAATGCGATGTCGAAAACAAACATTCAGCATTGCACCCGGGCGAAGCCGGGGCAGATCGCTAGTTCTGAATAAGTATTAAATATTACAGTCCCATTAGTAGGTTTTTCTCCTTAACTTACATAATACAGCTCTCATAGCAGTTCAGCCTTAAGACTAGAAATAACATGTTGATATCGTTATAGCAACGATAACAACATTTTCCGTTTGACAACTGCGAGTTCTTAATCTTTAGGAATGGATAAAAGTAACTATTGTTGAATAGAAAATTGTGTAAAAATTACAAGGAGGAGTGAACAAAAAAATTGCGCAGACGCTAAATTAGAAATAAGTACTGTATTCTCCAAATGGTAACGGAATTAAATCTGTAAAAGGGATGCTTTGGATAAAGAGAGGCAGATTTGAACCCAGGGCCGATCGAGCTTCGACGGAAAACCCGCCCGACCGTTAAGTCCTTACTAATATTATAAACGCGAAAGTTTGTGTTGTACGAATACGGCTCTAATTATAACCGGTACGTATGAATCACCGCCTTGATAACGATTCGTTGCCATTATGATTTTAAGAAATGTCTTAGTCATGTATGTGTTGAGTGAGAAACGTTATACCCGCAAACGTGATTTTGAAGTAAAATCAAGGGTAATACTGCAGATTAATCAACTTTTTGTATAGCGTGATCTCGGTAATAAAGAGTTTTTATGATTGCTCTAACGCCAAATAATACCCCTCCAGGTATAAGATACAAAGCTATGTTTAATTTCATCGCATCATACAATCGAATTAGCATAATATCTATCAAGTTCGTGAGAACGTGTCTCTGTATATAAATACATGTATTCCTCAAATAGTGTAAAAACAATATAATAGCTTCTGACTCACGTGTTTCACAATAAATACATACACAACAAATATATTACTGCATCGTTCAAAAGACAAACGCTGGGAAACGTTCTCCCTCTCATTAGTTGTTTGCGCCAATTCTAAACAAAGGGGGAAAAGAGATCGCGCATTGAAAGGTGTTGTCTTACTTTCTCGCCGTCCGTCGGCAGGGTGCCGTACCCGTACCAGCTCCTGGCGGGCCTCAGCCTGGGCTCATCCTTGGGCGAGAGCAGCCCGCTGCCCCACCGGACCACGCCCTCCGCCACGGCCGCGACCCCAGGGGTCCGCGGGCTGCCGTTGGGCGACTTCTGCGGGGGCGCGCTCTTCTCCGCCACCGGGGGGAGGGTGGGCCGAGCGCACCCGGACCGCCTCTCGTAAATCCTCTTGCACGTGTCATCACAGTCCGTCTCGAGAAGTCCCTTCTTATCGCTCCCCCGCTTCACCTCCGCGCACCTCTTCGGGTCGGAGTCGCGCCTCTTTGCGCTCTCGTTCGACTCCTGCCGGCAGAGCAGGGTCTTCTTCAGGCTCTCGCTCGAGTCCTGCTTCGTGACGGTCCTCTTGTCTTCTTTGGAGAGTAGAGCGCGCTTCAGGCTGTCGGTGGAGTCCTGCTTGTTGATTATCTTGCGCGGGCATTCTGTGTTCAGGGAGTCGGTGGTTTTGGATATTAGCAGCTTGGGGTAGTCGTAGGGCGCGTGGTCGGCGGGCGGGTTGAGTTCTAGGGAGCGCCTGTTCTTGCGCTTGTCGGCCGGGGCGATCTGCGCCTTGGCCGGGAGCAGCCGCCGCGGCAGCAGGCTGCGGTGGTCAGCGAGCGGCGACTCCGGGCGCAGCATATTGGCCGGCGGTGTGGGACTGCCGCAGAGTGGAACACCCCTGGAACAAAGGATGAATTTACGATTAGGTCGAAGCTGTGCACCGCAAACGGTCTCCCTTGCATTGCTGGGGTTCTCAAACGCAATCCTCATTTGAAAAATATCGCGAGGTACCTTCTTTTAGTTAAGATCTTAAAAACAAACTTTCACACAAAACTTTCTTTTAAAAAGAGAAGATAAACAAGGTTTGCAATTGACCCCTAAATATTGCTTATTTACGCATTTTTAATTTTTTTGTGATAAAACATAATAAAAACTACGACAACGATTCGTAGCCCTTTCGCTGTGTCAGCGTCGTGAATTGGTAACATACTTTGTATACAAAGTTTTGGTTTACTAACATTACCTGGTAATAAAATGCTTACAAGTTACGGACGGTACGGTATAAGCTTACTATTCTTACGTCACAAAAAATAAATGAGACAAATCATAAAAGGACGTAAGGGAAAAACTAGTAAAAGTATAATTACCGAAAAATTCACTTTATAAATATTAAAACGTTAACTAACAAAGATATAACGAGCGAAATTCAAATGTAGCGTTGCTTCGGTGAATATCGATAAAAACAAAATAAAAAATCTATCACTGGCATAGAGCGGCCGTGGGTTATAACAAGCAACTGATGTCGCAAAGTGCATTACACACAATAAAGCGATAACACGGCAAGAGCGCGGCGAGATATCATTCAACGTAATTGAAACTGATAACGGGAAATGTGGCCGAACAACGAAGGGTCTAGGTCACCGATACGCCAAAGGCGTTCATAAAACGATTAGCTGATAAGCGTCCATCACATCGGCATACACATAAGGGGTAAAACACACAATTTCACAGCAAAATCGAGAAATCTCAAGCCTCCACCAACACAGACATAAGGGCTAAATCACACAATGTCACAGCAAAAACGAGAGTTCGAAATTGCGCGTGGGAATACGAATAGAATGGCTATCATTCGTGTGTTTCCACAATAAGATAGCGCGATAATTGAACGGTTGGACATTGAATGCGTTGCGTAGAAAAGAGTGATAAATTAAATAGATACGGCTTTGTTTACTTTGGCATTGGCGGGTGACGATTGATAGTCGACACGAAATTTACATTTATAAATAATCATATATGTTTTTTTATTGACTTATTTTCTCTTCTATGTCAGGGTTGCTTTTAAATATACATTTAACATTGACGATAGCGAGCCGATGATATACATTCTGTACCGCAAATTATGTAGTGAACAATATATCACATTATAAATCGTATGTTTGGATGAATGGTGTTAAATCTTCTTTGATAACATCACTGCTTATTTACCAAACTCGAATGAATCAAACAATATTTGGATATCAAACAATACTATGGGCGAGCGACATAATGCATTAAATCCAGATTTCGTGATGTTTATGATGTTAATAAGAAAAGTTTTATAGATCATTATCGGATTACACCTCCCTGAAAAATGAATGGCTCGGTGAAGATTGAATAGGTAAGGATGTTGTTTAATTTCGACATTAACGGATACGCGTAATGTTTACGCTCGCTAGAGATGTTAGAGCGGCGAGTCGAAAATAATCAGCCGTGTCTAGTACGACGCGGCCACGCCCAAAACTCACGGATGCCAACTTAGGAATTTCTTCCTAGATTTAGGAAGAAAAGAATTACAATGGATGTTTATAGGAGGTAAATTCAAAGCTCACCACTTCCTAAATGTTTGTTCGTGAAGTTTACTGGTTTCAGTGGGATGTTTGAATTGCGTTAGGTATTCTTTAACAGTTGATAACACTGCTCCCACGGGCCAAAAGATTACAAAAACACAGCCGTTAACGGCGGTTTCGTTCGCGAATTCTTTGCACAGAAGCTTGGAAATCTTTGAGTGACTCACAAATTGGCAAGAATTGGACGATCCGAAGCTATAACTATTATAGTTGGTTTAGTTCGCTAAAGCATCGCACAATAATAAGAGTTGATGACGTCAGAGCTGTCACTAATTGGCGTTAAGGAATGAGTTCGTATAGCCTGTCCGCTACTCACCGTCGCATTTACTAAAGAATGCGACAAGATTTACGACGTAACGGTGACTGTTTCAAAACAAAATTGAAAAATAAATAAATAACTTGAAGTGACAGACAACCTGTAAGAAGGACGACCAGCGTTTTTAGGGTTCCGTACCCAAAGGGTAAACCCTATTACTAAGACTCCGCTTCTGTCTATCTGTCACCAGGCTGTATCTCATGAGCCGTGATAGTTAAACAGTTGAAATTTTCACAGATGCTGTATTACTGTTGCCGTTATAACAAGAAATAAGATTACAGACAAGATTTTTTTGCCGTTTTTATAGATCACGGTTCGGAACCCTTCGTGCGGGAGCATGGCCGATCGCAATTGGCCGGTGTTTTATTTAATATACTCACAGGCTGTTTTAAGGAAACCCACCAAAGCAAAAGGACAAATGAAAACAATACAGCAATATTTTACCTTAATGGTGCATTTAAATTCGTTCGTTATAGTGTGTGCGTTTAAAATGAAAAATCCTGCGCTTATGACAACTCTGATTTGATGGTGGACAAACAAGAGCGATGTTAGGAGATACAAACTCGAAAAACAAACGTTAAATATAGTTATTTGCGAACGTTAAAGATGTGATGAGACGGAAACTCGTTAGCTCCACTAGTCAAACTCCTAAGCCACAGAACCAATGTCGCTATTATCTTAATGAATACAATAATATTATTAAATTACCACTTTTCGAATTAAAGAAACTTAATATTTGCATATCTAGAGACAAAAGAAAAATATTCATTTGTTTTGTAAGCTATTACGTATTTGGTCGTAGTAAAGGTGTGTACTGACCAGTTACGAGACGTAATGTGTACTTTTTAAGCGTGCGTTCGTGAAATCAGTACGGGGAACAAGGCGTTCGCAGCGAGCATCGAGTCGTCACGAGTGCACTTGGTGGAGTAAATGGTTTTTAGGGTTCCGTATCCAAAGGTAAAACCTTATTATTTAAGCTCCGCTGTGCTATCTATCCGTCTGTCACCAGGCTGTATCTCTTGAACCGTGATAGATAGAGACATTATTTTCACATATCATGTATTTCTGTTGCCGCCAAAACAACATAATATACTAAAAAACAGAATATGTATAAAAATATTTAAAAGGAGCTTCCATAGCCCAGATGTGATTTTTTTGCAGTTTTTATAGAAAATCTACGGAACCCTTCGTGCGTCCGACTCGCACTTGCCAGTTTTTATAGATAATGGTGCGGCATATGTTCAACAGTGGACGTCTTGGGGCTGATGGTCATGATGATGATATTTAACAACGTTTCATTTTTTTCTTCATCAAAGATCCCAACACAACTTCATCGTCCGACATCTTGAATGAGAGTGCGTTGGCATAGAGTTCGAAACGTATGTCGGTATATCACACGGCCTAAGTTAGCATGCTCGCTGAGAAAGTGTGAATGGTTCTCGTACTACGCTTCGTAACGACAGTCGGCACCCACCTTTGAGTACAATCAGGAGACGGACGCGCTACCACTATCAAATTATAAACGAAACCGCTGGAAAACCCTAATCGGTCTAATAACCGATTAAGAATCTCAATTACAGTGTTGCCGAATGAAACTATTTTTGCGGATTTAACCACGTTAATTACGACTCGACACATCGACGGCACGGGTGGCGTGATAATTTAGTCGGTCGCGCGCTGTGTTTTGGATTCGACGCGATCGCGGATGCTTCACTAATATTTAAAAGAGCGATGCCCCGATTACCCCACTCATCATCATCCTCCTGCCTTATCCCACCTATGTAGGCACAACATGTGCGAATCATGTTGTGAGCGGTTTTGGCTTTGTTTTTTACGACCGGCTGCCCTTCCACAACATTCCTTGGGAAACAAACACCCCGATCCGGAACAATTATCTGTTGGTCGCACAAATACTTGCCCGTGTTGGAATCGATCCCACGACCCCTGGCGCCGAAGCCAATAGCTTGGCAATTGCGTCACCGAGTCAGCCCCCGGTTACGTCGCTATCCAGTTTACGTCGGACTTCTGTGAGCTCCTGGTACTTCCCCACTTACTTCTACGTTCAGGCGACTCATATACCCTTTATTAATTTTTTTTAAATATGGATGGGGTTGCGTTATAAGTCTCATCGTCCACTGCGACTTAGAAAGTTCTATTGTACTCTTCCCTTCGAAAACATCTTACCTTTACAGTAGGATAATATTATCCCGTGGTGTAAGACGCTTCGCATACCTAAAAACACCCCGATTCGGAACGATTACACAAAAAGTTTTCTCGTGTGGAATTCGAACCCACGACCCTCGGTGCAGAAGCCTTGGCAACTGCGGTGCGAGGTCATCCGTTCCCATGCATACATACCCATGAAACCTTAGGAGCAAGACGTAAATAGCTTAAATCCATTAAGAAGTTTATATAGCAAGAGAAAGGTGGTATTTATTTAAACAATAGGTATATGATAAACGGTGATGATAAACGAGCGAGATTTTTTCATTAAGCTATCCTTGGCTTCAATTATTTTAGGTATATGTATGACATCTGAACAAGGTGGAATCAAACGCATTAATAACTAATGACAACCAAAATAATTGCACGACGATAACCCGGTAACCTCATCAGCTCATGACAAATCTCTTGCCTTATAAAGATGTTCACAACCTTGTTGTATGTCATTTTACAACAATGGGCAAAATACGTAAATTGATTTCAATAGCAAGCATAAATTATAAGGATACTTTGGCAATTGTTTTCATTAACCTTTTTGCCCAGCACCTGTCGTCGAAAATTCGCCGTTATTATTATTTTTTTCGCGATACTCATTCTGTCAATCTGACATGTTGAAATTCCTTGAAAATCTTCACTCCATGCGGCTGTTTGAAGCTATTATGGCTTTGACATTGTTACGGTATGATCGTAAACAATGTTTTCCTAATGGATGAATGAGAAATTGTATACAATGTGTTTCAAACACATTGTTTATAATTATTTTTAGTCTTAGGCACTTCTTGCTCCATATAAGCTCGAACTTTACTAATACTGCCACTACGAATTCTTAAAAAGAGTTCCTAATT